GGGGCCACCACAGAGGCCAGCCCTTCTGTTATGGCCACAATTTCATTGACAGAGGTAGGAGAGCAGGCCAGTTTCAGAACAGGGTTGACATCGCAGAAAAAGTGTTGGATAACCTTTGATGCACAAAAGGTGAGCCAATTCACCAGGAGGACATGTAGGAGGGAGTGGAGGTGGGAGACAGCTATGGAGAAGGCTAGAAGCAACCTACAGGATCTGTGGTTCATAACAGTGACATAGTTAGTGGAAGGGGTTACAGATGGCTACATAGCAGTCAGTGGCCATAGCTGCCAGGAGATGCCAACTGTCTATGTTTCCAAAGACCAGGAAGAAATACATCTGTGCCAGACATTCAGCATAGGAGATGGTCTTTGCCTTGGACAGGAAGTTCACTAACATCTTGGGAACGATGACTGTTGGGTAGCAAACATCAGCCAAGGACAAGGTGCTCAGGAAGAAATACATGGGGTTTTGGAGTTGAGGATCAGAGCAGAGAGCCAAGCGATGAAAGTTATTTCATCCATTTTTATTCAGTTCATTCCCATCCTGAAGTGTCAATACTTATTTTGATGATAGCAAAATACATAGAAAAATAAAATATCCATTTCATCATACTATTGTGTCAAAGAGGAGATCCACTAAATAACAACCAAAGAGTCATTGTAATGAGCACTCATTCTCCTAGTCACTGCTGCTTCTGAGAACTCTGCTATAATTAGAAGGTATAATTTGTTAGGTTTTAATTGTAAAGAAAATATTTTGTTATTCTAGAGATAAAGAAACCAACTACAATGGAGGAAGTAGGCTTAATTATTATTATCGAAATGATGTGCCTTTATCTAATTACTGTTGTGATTAAATCATTCTAAATACTGGAACACTGGTATTAATTCAAAGTAGATTGTAATAAATATGTTAACAGTAATCCCCAGGATAACCACTAAGAAAATAGTATATATATATTTCCGTGTACACATATATGCCTATCACATATATACATATATATGTGTACATGCTGTACACACACACACACATATATATATATGAAGGGAATCAAAATAGTATGATAGAAAAACTAAGTGCAAATGAACAAAGTAAAAAATGATGTAAGACATATGGAAAACAACGGTAGTCCCTACTCATTTACAGGGGATACCATACAGTTAAAGACCCCTAGGATGCCTAGAACTATGGATAGTCTTGATCCCTGTATATACTATTTTCCCCCTCTATCCAGGCCTTTCTGTTCCTTCCTTAGATGCTGACCACAGAGCATTCCACAGTGGACCTCCTGACTCACATCTCCAGCTCAGATTTTCCCTCCTGGAGTACTTGGCCTGCAACAGTGCCTATCAAACTGCAGTCCCCATACCAGCTTTATTGAGATATAAATGGCAAATAACATTATGTAAATTTAAAGCATAGAGTGGGATGATTTGAAATACATTGTAAAATGATCACCACAGAAAGTTTAGTTTATTCATCCATCAGATAGTTGCCATTTGTTTGTGTAATAACATTTACAGTTCACTTTTATAGCCAACTTCAAGTGTACAATACAGTGTTGTTAACTACTGTCACCATGCTGTACCTTAGATCCTCTGAATTTATTCATCTTGTAACTGAAAGTTTATATTTGATCAACATCTACCCATTTCCTCTGTTCCCCAGTCTACTTTGCTTCTGTGAGTTTCACTTTTTTAGATTCTACATGTAAGTGACATTGTATAGTAGTTGTGCTTCTCTCTGACTTATTTCATGTAGTGTAATGTGCTCAGGTTTCATCCATGTTATTGCAAATGGCAGGATTTCCTCCTTTTTAGGACTGAATAGTATTCCACTGGGTATATATGTATGTCACGTTTCCTTTATCCATTCATCCATTGGTGGACATTTAGGTTGTTTCGGCTATTGTGAATAATGCTGCTGTACACCTGAGGTCTTAGTATCTCACTGTACTCAGCACACAAACACGAGCTTTCCGTCTCTTCTTCCATAGCAGTGGACTGATCACTGAGATCGGTAGATATATTCCTTTATTCCTACTAACTTATGCACATTAGCTAGAGAAATGCTTCCTACAGCAATGATCCAAGGCAAAATTGTGAAGTTGGGAAAATGAAACAGTTTTACAAGTTAAATATAAGCAAAACTACAACATCCAGTGAAATTCAAATGAACAATATTAAAGTGGTGTGATGGATCATGTGTTTTTGAAATAAATTGGCAGTATTGATATGATAGAGAAAGATATAGCCTCGGATCTGGTTATATTTTAATCTGTTTTATATTTTTCTTTTGACAATATTGATATGCAGAATGGCCATTTACAGAATTAGATACAAATGACATTAATAATAGCAGGAGTATATTCAGTAACTCAGGAAAATTGGGTCTCATACTGAGCCCAAATTGCCAGTGACAGATGTTCAAATGCCAGATTATTAAAATGTCACTTCAAATCTCTTTAAATCACTCTTATTCACTTGAAAAAAATATTTAGTATTTTGATTTCATTTAAATGTGCATTAAATGAGCATCTAGAGAGCTAAGGGGGTCTAATTAATAAAAATAGTCATAATAATAACTAATAACCATTTTTCACTTTATACCATATTTTTCTTTTTTGTTTGAGCATAATTGGGATATGGTATCTTATTAGTTTCAGGTATACATCATAACAAATTGATATTTGTATATATTATAAAATGATCCCATGGTAAGACTAAGTACCATGGCCATCATGTAAAGTTATTACAATATTATCAACTGTATTCCTTATGCTGTACATGACATCCCCATGACTTACTTATTTTATAATGGTAAGCTTTTACCTCTTAATCCCCTTCACTTATTTCATTCACTGGCCAATCCCTGTCCTCTCTGATAACCAACAGTTTGTTTACTGTTCTTTGTTTATTGTTTTGTTTTTTAGATGCCATATATAAGTGAAATCCTATGGTGTTTGCATTTTTCTGCCTGATTTATTTCACTTAGCATAATACCCTCTAGGACCATGTTGTCAGAATGTTAGGATTTCATTGTTCTAAGGCTGAATAATATTCCATTACATACACAAATACACACATGCACACATCTTTATCCATTCATGTATCCTTTCACAAGCCTGGGTTGGGGAAAATTTCATGGCTGCCTATTCTCTACCTAGTTCCAATTCACCCTAGTTGGTTAACTCCTCTCTCCTATGTATGTTCCTAAGAGATCAATGGAGAAAAGCCTTTTATCTTGCATATGCTTCCCATGACTACTGCCCCCTTACTGACTGTGTGGGTGGGGAGGGGAATTCCAGAGAAATTAGCTTCTGATTAAAACTTTTTAGCAGTTATTTCATGGCAGGATGATCAGTAGTTTGATGTCCCATGTAATTGTTGGTTGAAGGAATGATGATTTCCTTTCATTCAGATATTCGGGAGGCAGAAAATCATCTGGAAAAAAAAATTAAAACATGAGATCACCCACCTGTACTGCATGCCCCTCACTTTCAGGACAACCTTACTGGGGTGAAAGCATAAGTATGAGGAGAAAAAGACAGGCAGGCAGAGAACAGAGGCAGTAAAAGCTTTTTATTTTTAATGACAGTGTCGACCCCAGCCTTGGCACCCAATCCGAGTCTGAAATTGTAACTGGTGGAACGTGCTTATTTGCAGACAGGCTGCCCAGGAAAGGCACCTGGCCCTAGACAAGCTCTCGACACTCAGGAATCGGAAGGTGTTCTTCCCTGTCTCCTGTGGCCCTTCACATGCTAAGGGGACTGTAGATACTCACAGACTCCACCCTCTCTCCAGGGAGCATCCCTGGAAACTGTCAAGAAGTCCCTGAAGTTCCGATGGAGGGGACATTAGGAAACAAACCAACAATTTGTGACGTTTTGGAGTTTCTTCCCCAAAAAGCCTGGGGAATGTTGATGCTTTCTTTTTCTCCGGGTAAGCACCCTCTTGGCCCAACTCATTTAGACCAAAAAGAACACATCTCTGAGACTGGCCCAGGTGACAGAGATGCCCAGTGACCGGCTCTCCTAAACGTCCTCAGCAATTTTCTTATACCTGTGTTATTTATTCTAGGTGACAGTGTCTAGGATTGGAGGACATTCTTCCAGAGTTCACATAGCTTTGGACTAAAAAGGCTAGAAAACCTGGCACCACCAGTCACTTTCCCATCTCCTGGGCTTTGAAGCAGCCCCTGGTGGACAATGTTCTTAAACCTTCAGAATATAAAAATTAATAGGTCTAAGATTTTAGACCACAGATTTTACCCTGCACTCTTCTGTCCTAAGTTTCCCTAGGTCTAGTTGTAAAATATTGATGTATGACCCTTGTTTTTCCCCTCAGGAAAACCAATGAATATATTTTATGTTTTATGGAAGCTGAGTTCCTGGTCATTTGGGGTACCTCACTTTGTGTGTACTGCAGAATTCCCAATTTGGGGCTCAAATTCCCCCCTCTTTCAGTACAACTATCACCAAAGAGTATCCTATTATGACTCATTGTCCCCTCACCCATTTATAGTATCATGTCTTTGTTTATACTTTCTTTCATCTACTACACCTAACTTGCTGGGGCTTGAATTCAGCACCTTCCAGGATACTTTGCTTGATGACCACCACCTGCAGTGGATCTGTTTTCTGTCCTCTTTGAATGCTTTGGATTTCCATGCTAAAGGATAGCTCAATGTCTTTGTTTCATTGCGTATACATTAATAAAAGACAGAAATCAGTAATTTAGTGTGTGCTTACTGTGTGCTACGCACTCAGTTAAGTGAAGCAAATATAGCATCTCATTTAATTATTGTGTCACCTTCATGAGGTAGGTGGTCTTATTATTGTTCGAGATGAGGAGTCTGACATCAGGGGTGTGAGTGGGTTGTCCACTGTAACACAACCAGTAAGTGACAGAGTCAGTTTTTGAAACATTTTATGAGGTTTCTTAACTCCTGTTTGACTCCATGCTTTAAATCTGTCACTCTACTGTTTTTTTTCCTGATGCCAGTAAAGAAGATTTGGGAATTACATGATGAATAATAATTTTTGAATGTCATATTTCCAAAAACATGAACAGTATCTTATTAAAGTTTTAAAAGTACATCATTAGTTTAAGTTTCCTTCATGGAAGGTAGCCATATAAATCTGCTCGATTAAGGTGAACTGCTCTGAAATCAGTCACATTGGGAAAGCCAAGGTAGTTAAGTAGCTATTTTAAATGTTTAAATACATATCTTCAAAAATATATATGATTAAAAATTCAAATGTTGCATAAGACTAGAGAATGAAAGTTTTGGTCATCTCTCCACCACCCAAGGGCAGTTGACCAGATGGCAATTTCTACAGTATGCAGCCAACCAATAGTCTGTGCACACACAGTCATTCTCATCCACTCATCAGTGTGTACAGTTTTACCCCTAGACTTTTCTCAGTTAACAAGATATACTGACCATGGTTATATATCAGTAAACAGAGAGCTTAAGCTTTACATGGCAGTATTACTCCACGT